TTTTGAATTGTAGCTAAAATAAATATATATTTATTTTATCTATAAATATATATATATTTATTCAATGCTATATGAATTGCATTGAATAACGGTCGCTAATAACAAACACCGTTAGGGACCAGTTGCTTTTCAAAGGGTCCCAGGTCCACACTTAATAAACTCTCACTGGGGGAATGCACACGCTGTCTTGGTTGTGTGCATAATACAAAGGGTTTGTTGCATATTTGCAACAATAGAAATCTTAGGGTTAAAACTACAAGTAAAGAAACTTACAGTAAATATATTGCAGCAAAAGTAAAGACAAACATGTTTATTAGATTCTGTGTTCATAAATGTGTTAACCGTTGAACCACAGTTTAACTCAGATGAGTTAAAACTCAACTTCGTCTTGTTATTAGGGGCAAATAAATCCAAAATTTAAGGCTTAGCAAATATTCAAGAAGACTTTCTTCCCTCTTTCACATATCCTGTCACAAATATTAACTCATTAACTAAGAGTTGCATTTGGTATTAGAATGGACAGGTTTCATTATTGAAATATGGATCTGTGAAGAAAGAAACAAATACCTACTGAAATGTATTCTAAGCTTACCTCCATGTTGTTTGTGATTGATACAGTCTCCTCCTTCATATGAAGAGAGCATCCGTCAGTCTGTGGAGCTGCCCTACAACATCCTGTCACCGAGCCTGGACGTCCCCTCTCCTCAGACAGTTAATACCAGCCCAGGTTACTCCACACACAGCACCGCTCTACTTCCTGTATGATGTGGAACAAGTCCTCCAACTAGCCAATGGATGTGAAGGGAAGCTCTTTATCCTTGCAGAACTTTCTGATCCAGATACCTCAAACTAAGCCAAAAAGCAACCCAAAGAGGAGCTGCATCTACACAGAAGAACATCCAGTTAAACAGACTTTTTTTTTTACACCAAGCTGAAGCTAAAGGGATGAATATTCATAAACTAAGGTGGCTGGGACATCTTTAAGAATGAAAGGATGCAACAGGAAGACTGAAACCTGCCAAAAAAACCGAATCTCTCTTCACTTTGTAGATCACAGTGAAGTGGGTTTCCTATAAAACTGTTTTGGTTTCTGTCTCGCCTTATTTCAATACCAAGTACACACTTAATGATCATGATTTTCTTTTATGTTGTGTAAAGCAGATATTTGTTGTTTTAGTGAACCAACACAGAGAGAGAGAAAGGGTGCTAAACACACAGAATTTTTATTCAGTATTTTTTTAAAAAGCATTTTCACTTACCTTACTGTGAATTCATGGCTTCGGATGAATTTTGCATTTATCCTGTACTATATTTATTGATGAGAACATTATTTTTGTCATGACTGTAAAAAAGCACGAGGAATTAAACATTGCATTATGTTACTGTTTGATATACATGATTAAGTTTGATCTGATTAAAAAAAAAATTAGACCAAAGCATGTCTTTTTAAAAGCTGAATGAAAGTGTATCGAGATTTGTTAGTAAAATCCAGCTTTCTCCTCCTCTTCTATTTCCAGTTATTGTTTCACTATTAGAAACAAAACAAAATGTAATGCAGTACAATTTTGGAAAATATATTTAATATTTATATACATGTAGATTGGTGCAATCATATGAACAAGTGGCAGCAGATTATTTCTTTTTTGTATGTTAATTGAATACATCTTTTTACTTCTTATTCAAAAAACAGTGCAATTATCTTTACAATGGCTTTATATGATACAGAAAAATCCAATTCCAGTTTAAAAGGATTTAAATTTGCCCCATTTTGAATATTGCATTCATCGATACTTCAGAAATGATGCCTGGAGGTCAAGAACTGCAGTTCTGCCATTAGCTGTACCATCTCTGTCTTTATATCTATGGTTCAGCTGGTTGTCTTTAAAGCAGTGTTGGACTTAGTTGATGGGTCCTTATATGTAACAGGAAGTTGCCACAGTGCTAAGCTTTCTAAGTCTACAGCTATTGTTAGTTTAGTGGCAAAGAAATTATAAGCAGTGTTGAATGAAGATTAATGATATGGGTCTATTTTTGCTGAGTTTACAGTTGTATTTTTTTAATGAGTTTGATTACTAGAGAGATTTGTCCAGATCCTCACAGCTCCAGCTCAACAATGGCAGTTACACAAAGTGACCAACAGATGTCTCACTACTTGGACCAACTAGTCTGGATTACAGAGGCAGCCTCTCCTAAGGCCAGATTCAAATCATTAGAAATAAAAATCTCAAATGTGTGGTTTGCAATCAGCCATTTTTACTTTATCTCTGAAAAAAGGTCACACATTTATTTGAATCCATGTAGCTCGTTATCCAGCTGTTTGCTAAAGCTTCAGAGGGAGTGGCGGCCTAGTGGTTAGGGAATAGAGCTTGGAATCCTGAGGTTGTGAGTTTGAGCCCCACTGCCACAGACTGCCACTCTGACTCCCTGAGCAAAATACCTTTAACTCCACACTGCTCCCCAGGTTTCAAACAATGGCAGCCCATTGCACCACAAGGGAATGGGTTAAATGCACAACCTTCATTTCATAGCTCTGTACTTGTGACAGTGTAATGACAAAAAAAGCTGGGGAAAAAACCCAAAAACTTGTTTACAAACACAATAATATGAAGCCATTATTGTGCAATATGCAACACAGCTCAGTGATAGTAACGATTAAGTTAGCTTATAGGACAATATTTCAAGTGTTGGACATTGTACAGATAACTGTTCATCATCTTAAACAGAAGGACTTTGGCACAAATATAAATAGACTATAAAATAATTTCTGCAGTTTGTCCTAAACCGGTAAAGACAGAAACTAATCTAACTTGGCCAGAATGGGTGTAATGTGTGGCAGAAAATGAACTCTGTATATTATCTTGAACTTATGTCTTTCAGGGTAGATGGTGGAGACAGCATCAGGGGTGATTTTAATAAATTTGGACAGTGGTGAGAGACTGAGAATAATACACATAAGCAAGACAACAATGGAATGGCTTAATTGTGTGTTGAAATGGCCTAGTCAAAGGCCAGATCTAAATGCAATTGAAAATTCGTAGAAAGACAAACAAAGAAAGAAGAAAGGATACATATTTGATATTTACAAAACTGATACACATAATCCTAGAATTTGATTCTACGAGACATATTTGTTCTACAAAATATTTACTCACAGTTTGGATCAGTTTATTGCAAATACATGCCATACCTGTCAACTTATAATTCTCAGGTAATTTAGAACATTCCTTTCATCCTACTGCTTTTAAGTCATGCACTACTTGATGCTCAATTCCGATTTTTTTTCGAAATACGATTTTTTGCATTTTCGTTCATATTTCCAAATATATGTGACTTGTATGTGATCTCCTGTGTGAACGGCAGTCATACAACGCAAGTGTCCTGCATGTGCAGTAGAGCAGCGGTCCCCAACCTTTTTTGCACCACGGACCGCTGTATGTCAGACAATATTTTCACGGACCGGCCGGGGTCGATCAAGTTAAATGATATGACTGGCATAAAATCAAATACAAACAGCATAAAAATAAAACAACAAGCCGGTCCTATCTAGACGTAATCTGAGAAAATGACAGAGGAAGTGTACTCCTGATGTCCAGTCTGCTCCGTAGCTTTGTTTTGGTTGCTGTAACCGCAGAAAATCCCGCTTCACAAAGATAAGATGTTATAAATAGGATGAGTCTTGAACTGAATTAACCTGTGTCAAGAGGCACAGATGCACCAACTGATGTAATTGGGAGAGAATGCCGCAATTTTTTATATTTTTCAAAATAAAACATCACTCAGACTCTGATCGTCGATAAATTATATATATATACTTCTTTCTGTGCAGCCCGCTACCAAATGACCCATGGACCGGTACCGGTCCGCGGCCCGGTGCTTGGGGACCGCTGCAGTAGAGGACGCAATGATGTGACAGGCCAGTGTGCTCTTTTTTTCCGGAAGCAAACATGGATGGCAGTGCCGGAGCGCATCTAGCGGTCTTTTCCAACCATAAAAACACAATCTTTTCAATATGGTTAAACATAAATACTGCTCTCCACATCATTATCTGCCATGGTTGTTGGTTTTCTTGCTGCTTCTTTGTAGCAAGACGCAGAACAGTGACCTTTGTCGGGTATTGATGACGTTCTGGTCAGATGAATCCCACCTGGCCGTTCAGACACAGGTCGCATTTGAAAACATCAGGTTTGTATCAGATTCAGGACCACATAGCCAAGTGGCATGGGTCGGATTGGAAAAAATTGGATCTGTGTTGTTCAGACTCACAGGTCGCATATGGGCAAAAAAAAAATCGGATTTAGGTCACTTCATCCTGCAGTGTGAACGTAGCCTCTGAGTCTTCCTTGTCATGATTGTTTTTCCCCTGATGTCTCCATGGTTTCTGGTTTGTTTGACTTTGTTTTCATGTTTTGATCTTTGGATTCCTGCCTCCGTTTTTTGAAAACACTTCATTGGTTTCTGGTTTGTTGACTATTTTTCCCCATGTTTTGATTTTTGGACTTTTGGATTCCTGCCTCTGTTGTTTGAAAACATTTAATTAAATCTGCAAGAAACTCACCTGTGCCTCCCTGCCTCTGCATTTGGGTCCTCAAACCACAACCAAATTCTGACAGTTTGTTTGGAAAGGCTTTGGGAAAGGATAGTTTGTCTTTATTTAGAAATTGTGGATGTTCTGCTCATTAGATTGACCATGAAGTTCTGTCGCCTATCAACTTTTGGCCACCCCTCAGTGTACATTGGTTATTGCCTGGCCACCCTTATAAAAATGTTACTGGCTGCGCCTCTGACTTCATAATCATATAAACAGCTGAAACAGTCTTTTGAAATGAAAGAGCTCGAAACAGCATTTTTATATCAACACAACTATTTTTGAATCATTCCCATAAATTGACAGATGAAAACGTTTGCACTCATTCTGCTGTGTGGGCATTATTGTAATTACCCAGCATGACTCAGGGCTGTGCCTATGGAGAGGCGCTGCGTCACTGCCGGAGGAAACCGAGCTTTCCCGAGCAGCCGATTCCCAGTCTGATATGTAAACAAGGTCAGACTGCAGCACACAGACCAGACGTCTTCTTGAACAGAACAGAAGTGTTTTCTAACAAGAAGAGACTCAACTTTAAAACCTCTAATTGTAGGTAAGCTGCGCATTAGCGGTGCGTTTAAATCCGCCTTGTTTTCCTACGTGACGCACTGCAGCTGTAAAGTGGTTGGAGCTTAATATTTTTGGGGGGGAAATGCGTTGAGTAAGAGTTTCCTTTGCAATGGAAATCAAAATAAATCTGCAAAATGTAGGAAGAGTGTCGCTGCAGCTCTGGTGCAGATTTGTCGCAAAGTCCCTCTGCGGCTCTATGTTTACTTCTTGCGCAGTCATCAGCTGATCCTAAAGTGGGTCGGTGCTAAAACTGCGCTGTCATGTTATCATGCAGAACAAAAACGATAGTCGGAGATTCTGCATTAATAAATTGTCTGATTTCCTTTAACCTTTTACATAAAATTAAATGTTTATATTAATCTGAGAGTCTCGCTGAGGGATTATGTTGTTAGTTGTGCAAGAGGCCATGGGGAGCTTTAAAGGTGGCTTTCTAATCAAAGCACCTTGTGTTGCTCTATAGTTTATTAATATGGTTCAATAAAAAGAATCAATAAAAGAAAAATGAAGGAAAATGTAACGAGCTACGTAAGAGAGGACATTGCCAAGGACACAGCCGGGGCAGGCCCATCATATAAGCAAATTTTACGCTGCAAGCAAAAAAAAAAAAAAAAACAAACAAAAAAAACAAAGCAAACACTTCTATAAAAAAAAAAAAAAAAAAAAACCATACGTTTTCACCGATGATAAGAAAATCATTCGTTGTTTTTAAGTCAAAATAAATGGACTGAAGGGGCTCCCTACAAGCTCAGAGTTAATAATACATTAGGTATGATTACTTATTTCCTAAGGTGAGTTCACTTCCTCAAGTTTGTGTACCTCGCAGCAGTTTTTTAAAGCATTGTTTCCAAGCTCTTCAAAGTTTCCGTCACATATTTAATCGTCTCCGTGCTGGTATTTTGTAAGTAAACATTAGCTCGCTTCCTGCTTAAAGTCCAACGCCTTAAAATAAGATTTACTGTTTAAATCTTTCATTGAACTAATGCAGCTGTGATGAATATATATATATATATATATATAGAATATATATTCATCACAGCTGCATTAGTTCAATGAAAGATTTAAACAGTAAATCTTATTTTAAGGCGTTGGACTTTAAGCAGGAAGCGAGCTATATATATATATATATATATATATATATATATATATATATATATATATATATATATATATAGCTTAATATATAACTTTATAGGTGACAATACCATGACTGCCCAGTAACTCCAATCTGGTGTTACTGGGCAGATATGCGTGTAAATCAGGTTATACTTCATGTCAACAGAGCAGGCTGGCAAACAATCAATAAAGGAGGTCATGCTTGTTTATTAGACCAGCCTGTGATGTTTTCATGAAGCAGTGTTTATTTTGTCATTGCAGGACAGGGGCACAGACAGCAGCCAAGATGATGCAGTGTTTTCATTTCATGGTGGAGCCGGTCAAAAACCTGACCTCCAAGATTAAGGTCAGCATTTTTATCTTAAAACTGTTTAATGTTTAAACTTTATTTTTAGGTCAGCCTGATATAATTTTAGTATTTATATAATAGCATTGTTATCATGGTCATCAAGGCTGCACACCTAAGTTTTGTTATGAGGAAAGGAGCCAATGAGGTGGCTCTGCTAACACTGTTAGAATGATCTTTGCCTTTTTATAAGGATAAGTTAAAGCCTTGTCTTTGACCTTTCTAAAGCACTTAATCCCAATAACTTTCTCTTGACAGGAGTCAAACAAGAGAGCAAAGAAAGACAGAAAGGAGCCTCTGGATGAGGATCAGTTGTTTGTTGGGGAGCTGGCTAAAGACCTCAGTCGAGTCTGCCAGGTAGTTTTACCATAAAAAATGATTTATTTTTGTGTTGTTGTTTTTTTCACATTACAGTCAAGGTATTGTTTCATCACCATCCCACTGTTGCTATGGGCTCTTATGTTTAGGGTGCCCAACTCTAAAGATTTTGCAGGTTCAAACAGGGCTTCTTCCCAGATGTCTCTTTAGCATCCCTGTCCCTGCAGGATTCCCACAGCATGATGCTGCCCTTACCATGTATTCTGTATGGGATGGCATTCAAGTATTTTCAACATATTGGATATTAGCAAAAGAAAAAAAAATGGTTTTGTTGTCATATGCACAGAGCACCTGTCTCCTGGTTTATAGCAAATTTTAGACATGGCTTTAAATGTACTCTTCAATGAAGGAAAAATTTAAGGAGTATATGACCATTAGCTCTCCTGTTTGCACTGCATTTTTTTTTAATTTACATATGCATCTGTTTGTAAAAATGTTCAGAAACCGTCTTGTTCTTGTTTATCACATAAAATTTTATTGAAATACATTTATGGCTTATACTTGATCAAAGGAAAATGCTAACTTTTGCAAGGAAACAAGCTGTTAAAATGTTATTTGTACTGAACTTCCTGGAACCTTTTTATCCATTTAGGATTTTTCTTTTTTCCTTTTTTTTTTTTTTAGCACCACCTAGCAATCTAGCAATTCACTCAATAACATTAGTAAAAATCAGGACACATTTTAGGACAAATTCCAATCAAAGGTTTTTGCCTTTTTTTTTTTTTTTTTTACAAAGATGAAAGAATATGAACCTCGTTTTATCCCGTTATTTGATTGTGAGTCCAACAGCAAAGCTGCCATAGACATCATTGTTTTAAGCTGGCCTTGATTATAATTTCTCTTTTTGTGTTTTTGTTTTTTTCTTTTCCCGTAGAGATCAGAGGTTCTGGAGCACGTCTGGAACCAAGATGACATTTGGCCGTCTCCCCTCTGCCAGGTCTTTATCCTGCAGTGGGCATCCATGCTGGAGAACAAGGTGCCAAGCCAAAAAAAAAAAAAAAAAAGCATATCAAAGATTAGAGGAAAGTTATTGGAGTGTTAAAGTTAAGCTTAGCTCATAAAAGTGTCTGTGTGCAGAAGAAACTGATGCAGACTGATGGTTGGCCAGAGGTGGATGAGAGCAATCACGATGATCTGATAAACCGAGAGGCCCTGGACCAGGCCAAAGCTGTCATCCTTAACTGGATCAAAGATCTGAGAGCTCAGCCTGAGGTGGGAAGCTTAAATATCACGTAGATCTTCATGATGTTCTTTTGCTATTTCAAACTAAAAGCAACGCTTTCTGAACACATATATGCAGCAAAGCGTTTGGCCTGGAGAACCGGTGGCCAAGATGCTGGAGGACCTGCAGTCAGCCTGGCGCTGGGCCCGAGTTCCCAACCTACTGACTGCTATGGAGTTGGTTATGTGGACTTTAATGTCACAGCGACCTGATAAGGTAAAGGCTTCTATTGTAAAGCACGGAGCATACTGGACATCACTAAATTCACCAACAAGCCCCTTTGCTTCTTGCAGGACACCATCCCACAGCAGTGGCTTTTGTGGAAGCAGAGAACTCAGAAAATTGGTCAGTAAATCACCACTGAATTCATTTTGATTCATTTTCTTGCAACAGTTCACGTCCTAATTACTTTCCTGATTTCCTTACAGGTGCCATATCCTATATTCCTCAGCCAGGTAAATGAAACAAAGTAAACAAAGTATACACCAACATTTGTTAGATAGATATTTAAAATCTTTTAAAACGAACAAATTTAAACAGCTAGAATGTACAGGCTCTCTTTTTAAAAGGTACAATGATGAAAGCAAACAAATTCCCACTGACAGGAGCATCAGGACTACATGTCAAAAAATTTAAAAAAGGGTTTTTAATTTATTTATCTTGGCAGATCTGTGAATGTATTAATTAGGAAGCCAAATTAGTTTCTATTTGTTTTTTTTTTTCATATTTATGGAGAATTATTATTTTTCCTGCTAGGACTTAGACCACAACAAAGCACTGCCAACCTTAATATGAAAAGGCCTATTCAATTTATTTAAAAGAACCCATTAGGTCCCTGCTAGTTCTGAGTATCAAATAGTTTTTCCCAAATACATTTGATTTTATTCACCAAGTGTGAATTCAGTTTGAATCACATTGTAGTTTGATCGCTTTTAATTCAGCCAAGATTATCCAGCAGCACCTACTTGATCATGGAATGCATAATGCCGCAAATAGTAGAAACCAACTAACATGGAGCTTTAAGTTAAATACAATAACTTCAATCATGCAATGTCAAAAAATGTTTAAATTAAAAGAAGGATTGATTCTAACTTTTACTTTATTCATATGCATGACTTGTGAATAAGTAATGTTTATGTTCAAATTCAATGTGTTTTGTCCTTATTGTAGTGTGGGACTGGATTGGAGATGCTGCAGGTACTTGAACATGTTTTCCAGAAATATTTTGATCAGTTTTATCAGCAGAGTGGATATTAAAACTTTATCCCTTCCCCTAAAGTCGAGGTAACTCTCGATCTAGACACAGCCAACCCTGATCTGCTCATTTCTGCTGATGAGAAGAGGATGCGCTGTGGCTTTGAACGAAAAGATGTTCCCAACTACCACCAGCGGTTTGACGGATGGTGGTGCGCCGTCGGCATCGAAGGCCTTGGCTCTGGCCGACACTACTGGGAGGCAGAGGTTGGCGAGCGCGACTGGCGGCTAGGCGTGGCCAAAGAGTCAGCGTTGAGGAAGGGCTTCAAGTCCCTGAACACTGATACAGGGTATATGACCCTGCGGCTGGAGAGGGGCACTGAGTTCAAGGCTCTGACGGTGCCCTTCACCGCCTTGCCACCTGGCCTGATCCCTCGTAAGGTGGGCATCTACCTCGACTATGACAACGGCCAGCTGTCCTTCTATGATGTAGACAAACACTTGCACATTTATACCTATAATGAGACCTTTACTGAGCAGCTCTTCCCGTTGTTCGGTACAGTGGAGATTGTTAAGGATCTGGTGATCCGGTCCCCAGCAGCTAAGACCCAATGTCTCTGCCCCACATCCTGTCTGTGGGCCTGAATTTTCTTCTTTCAGGTTTCCCTGTATGAGCCAGTAACAAATATTATAAAGTATAAGGAACCAGAGTAGCAGGGTAATCCTGATAAAAATGACCATTCATGTGACCACTCCATATGCTGCTTCTGCTTTAAAGTGACTGCTGCTACTATTTTGTCAAGATAGAGTTAGAGCACAACCCTCTGGTCTTTTGTGTTTCCAGACATGTGAGCAGTAACCCTGACGCTAAAATCTTATGTATTCTCCAACGCTAATATGATAATTAAAATGCACTTCTGTGAATAAAGAATAACAAAAATCCATCTTTGTGTTTTTTTCTCTATCATCTAAGCCTTCCAGAAAAAGAGATCATTAGACTTGTCATTTTATAGAAACAGAGTTTATACAAAATGAAATTTTGATACATAAAGATTTTTCAACAGTGAATGAGCAGCTTAGCAGTGAAATGAACACTTTCATTTATAAAGTGCAGCAGATATCAAAAATTAAAGTGTTGGAGAGACATGGTGCAAAACACATTGATGTGGAAGGTTCAGAGCAGTGCAAAATAAATAAATAAATATGGCGCAAAATTGCAGTACAACACTGAGTTGAATTCTATTTAAAAGGATTTGAAAATCTGCCATGTAGCGCAAGTATGATGTTTACAATGTGATGCAAAGTCTTGATTTGTGACTTAATTGGAGTTTTTAACAGTTCAACAGGCTCATAGCTGGTCAGAACGCTCTCTATGGGGCTTCTGTAGAAGGTGGTGAGGATGGATGGGGGCAGGTGGGCTTAAATGACTGAATACCATAAAGGAATTTAAATTGTAAGCAACAATAGTATGATTAAGTGTTTATATTATGATCATTTGGTAGAAAGATGCCCAATATCTCCCAAACTATCACACTGCCACCACTAGTGTGAACTTCTGATGGCCCCATAAAGGAATCTTGCTCCTAAATAAATACAGTACTTGTTCAACCAGATGGCATTTTTACAACATGGCCAAGTTGGATGAGCTTTTGCTGACTACCTCAGTCTCCTTAGTTCACTAGAGTGGCATTTGGTGAGATTTTTGGCTTTAGCTCATCTTCTGTAATATTCTTCATGCTGTTCCTTCAGAGATGATATTTGAAGTGCTTTGATACAAAGATTGCTTTATTCTACCTACAGCTTTCGTAATGCCATTCCCTTCTGATCATATAACATGTTGTAGGGCAAAGCACTTCTAATAAAGAGTAAAGCATGGTGACTAATTTAATTGTTAGAATTGACAAGGGGGAAAAACAGCAGGCACCACATTATACAAAAGAATCCAAGTCCATCTACAATCTTATTGTTTTCCAGTCCTAACTGATTTCTTATGCACAATGTTCCCTCAGAGAAATCAGAGGAGCCCTATGAGTATTAACTGCTTTCTTTATGCCATTCTAAGTGGATCGGCTGGTTAAACCTGCTACGTTGCTAGCTTTGTTCAAAACAGTGAAAGAGGAGTGCCTAATAAAGAGTTTGGTATATGAAAATATAAACTACTTTAGTAAAACTCAAGAACCAAGAACCAGGCTGCATCATGTTAATGAAACCCAGCCATAACATCAAAGATGTTTACAAAGGTTCAGGAGTGGTCTTCTGGCATCCATCAATAATACATTGCACTCTCCATTATAGATGAGAAGAAGAAAGAGCTCTGGTTTGGTCATAGGCTAGTTGTGTGAGAGTTCCCAGGTGCCTTTAAAATGCAAAATTAGTTTTTCGATTCCAAAAGAGAAGTCCTCTAATCATGTTTAAAGGTGGAGAAAACCCCTCTCAGGAGTTGATCATTAGTTTTCGATTTATTCTTAACAACAAGCAAGACAATTTAATAATCTACGACTTTGGGCTATTTCATCTTTGAATAGTCAGACCATACATGGTTCATTCTGACTGGGCCCAACAAGAGATTAACTCAGTTGTCCCCATTGTTATCTGTGATCATTTAAGCTTACATCACTTATCTGCTGCAACAAGACATAAATATCGAAATATATGAGGCCACATAGACTTTGGGGGGAAAAAAATCACATTTTCACATTTTAACATCAGAGATAATTGCTTTTGATTAAAAAAAATCTTTTACATTTGATAATTATTTATTTTACTTTGATTGACTTGAGGATTTGCCAAATTGTTGGGTGTAATAATCAAGTATAATTAACATGACTGTACATCAAATCCTTCAGGCTGAAGGCGTGTTAGCAGGTTCACAAAGCTGGACCAATCAGAGGTCGACTGCCATATATGGACATGGCAGACTCCTTCTTCTTTTTTATTTTTAATTAAAATCGTAAACATATCAAAGTAAATAATTAAATGTTTTCAAAACGCATATAACGTAAGAACACATATTAATTATTTTTACTTTAATTCTCGTGTCTTTTGTTTTCGACTCCAGTGACGTCATAGATGTGCGACGACGAGAGACAGTTCTTCAAAGGCAGATAAACGATGTCAACAAGTTTAAAACAGGCTTTAAAATCTCACTTTGGCTTCGACGGCTTCAGGTCTAAACTTCAGGAAGATGTTGTTAAGGCTGTCATTCGTGGTGAGTCAGAAACAGATGTTCTATTTTGTGTTTTATTCCCATTTTCCTGCTATCCTTACCATAGCAACACAAATATGTAACGTGTGCAATAGACTGATGAAGAAGTTAAACCTTGGTATTGGTGAAAATCTGACTTACTGTCTGCTATTTTAGGTAACAGGGACGTGTTTGTATGCATGCCCACCGGAGCAGGGAAGTCTCTGTGCTATCAGCTGCCTGCAGTGCTGGCTGAGGGTATTACTCTGGTTATATCCCCTCTAATCGCTCTGATTCAGGTCAGTCTCTTCCTTCAATCTGCTGCTGCCACTCCTCACAGATGCTGTTCTGTAAACAATATCATTGCAAATTGCTGCTGATGTGGTGCTTAAATGTTCTACTCTGATTCTGCCACTTCAAGAGGAAGAATATGTGATTATATATGACCTTCTATAAGGTCTACTCCTATTTAACACTCCTATGTTATTTTATTTTGACACCTCCTCAGCTTTGCTTTGTAAGGCCACAATCTTCCCTGTTAAAATGGCAGACTTTTTTAACATTACAAAACATAAAGCCATAAAAAACAACAACAATCATCCTCTGTTCTTTGCTGATACTTCAGTCAGAATCACATTTTGAATATAAAATACCCACTGTCAGATTGTAAGGGAATTTCCTGTTCACATCCCCTTATCTGCAACCACACACTTCTCCCACCCCATGCATGAAGCTGTTGCAGAGCTGGAGAGCTCCTTCAGTGACAGACTTCTGCACCGTAAATATACCAGGGAGTGTTATTACAGATCCTTCCTCCCTGCAGCTGTAAGACTTTATAACTATCACTGTTCCCAACAACTTAAATACGTTGTTACATTTATGCTGATTTTCACAGTATCTATATTGGTCACTTAAATAACATGCTGATGTTGCTGCTATTTTCAAATATCCATTAATGTAAAAATGTCCATAGCTGTATATTGGTTATTTATTCTCCAGGTGCACAGTTTTATATTGTTAAAACACTTTACAGTACAGTATTTTTTTGTTGTTGTTGTTTCTTTTTTTTTTTACTTTTCACTATTATGTTACACTTATACACTTTCCTAAGGTTTTTTTTTTAAACTTTTTGCTGCCAGAATTTCCCCATTGTGGGAAAATAAAGGGATTTTCTATTCTATTCTATTCTATTCTATTCTATTCTATTCTATTCTATTCTATTCTATTCTATTCTGTTCTATTCTATTCTATTCTATTCTATATAGTTCTGCACTGATCAAAAACTGTAATCATCTTCAGATGTGTGCATTTTCTTATTATTTTTTGATTTAGTGTTTGTTTGTGCAGGACACACCTTGTAGAGTTGTGGCCAAGAGTTCACATTTTGGTTTCACCAGATCATAATATATTCTCCAACAAACATTTTTGTTGCATAGAAAGGCTAACATGTTTTCTTTGGTGTAAAAAGACGCTGCTGCTATTCAAGGTTACTACCTAGCCCAGACCTTTGGAGTTCAACAGTTGCTATCCTTAATCTTTAAGGTCCCTGTCTGGTTTAAAACACCTGATTTAAGTGATGGATCGTTTATAAGCATTTACAGAACTTGATGAAATGTTGAAGAGATTATTTATGCATTTCATTCAGCTTTTTTTTGAGCATCAACGCATCAAAAACATGCAGTTCTTGGGGCTTAGAGGAATGGAGTTTGAGAAAACTGACCTAAACTTGTTGAAAATATTGAGAAATATTGTTACATATATACAACTGCCAAGGATATTTTTTTGTAGAAATACATTTTCTTTGCACTTACAACAGTCTTTATATATACAATATACCCTTTTCATCCTATTATTATCTTTTGAGAAATGTCAGAATTAAGGTTCTTGGTTGAATTTAAATTATTTAAATCAAAATCTTCCATGGGAATCAATATTTCTGGCTATATTTTCTATTAGTACTCACATGCTACCATTTTATGATGCTTTGTTTTTTTTTAATTTGTCCAGAATATTTATTAGATTAAGGGTTAAATAAGTGTTGAAGAATGTTGATCTTTTTTTTTAACAGCACTTTGTTAAGAGTCCATGTACATTAAATTGACATTAGTCCTGTGGTTTTCTTTTTTTTTTCTTTCTTTTTTTTTTTTTTTACAGTGTCCTGTCTGGTGATGTGGCAATAAGAATAATTGTCTTGATGCTTAAAAAAAAAAAGAGCCCAACAGCTTTTGCTTTCACAAGTGGAGTAGTACGGCTATCGCCATAGTGTTCCGCTTGTTTTATGCATATAAATTGCTTAGGGAGTTTTACAGATTATATGGACACTGCAATGTAAGTAGAACAGGAAAGGAAAAACAGAAAAAAGGAGAAAATATGAAAGAAAGAGGAGATAAAAGGGAGATCATGATAAAACATTTTCAGTCTGCTTTATCACCTGCAAATAATGTAAAAAGAACAGCACAGCACAGTCCTGTGGTTTTCTGCTTCACCTCATCTTTCCTGATGTTTTCTCTAAACTGGATGTGAGTGCAGTATCCTCTTATCTTTGACATTCTCTAGGACCAAGTGGATCGCCTGAAGGAGCTCAACATCCCAGCCTGTTCCATCAACTCCAAGCTTGCTGCAGCCGAGCGCCGTCTGATCCTGGCTGATCTGGGGAGCAGCCGGCCGAAGCTGAAGCTCCTATACATCACTCCAGAGATGGTGGCCTCAGCCTCGTTCAAGCCCTGCCTGACGGGTTTGTGCTCCCGCGGCCTGCTGTCCTACCTGGCTGTGGATGAGGCTCACTGTGTTTCCCAGTGGGGCCATGATTTCCGACCAGACTATCTCAAACTGGGTGAGCTGCGGGCTAGCATACCAGGAGTACCCTGTTTGGCTTTGACAGCAACTGCTCCCAAAAACGTCCAAGAAGACATTATGAAATCACTGAAGCTGCGCTCGCCCATGTCTTTTGTCACGCCGGTCTTCCGTAGCAACCTTCATTACGATGTGATCTTCAGAGATCTGCTGCCAAACCCTTATGTTCACCTTCAGGCCTTTATTAAAAAAGCTCTGGATCTGAGCAGCGGATCTGCTGGACAGGTTCGTAAAAGAGATCATTCAACCCAAACAGAATTACATGTATGAAGCTCGACTTGCTTTGAAGTAGCTTTGGAGTATTGTTATTCTACTTTAGGCTTAAATGTTGTCAACGGAGTAAATAGAAATTAGTAATGGGTTAATGAGGCATCTTGAAGCATTTTGACACATTGCCAAACTTTTATTTATACTGTCTCGCAGAATACTGACACCTGCTGGAGCTTTAAAGACACTACAGGCAGCTTATTTGACAGACTAAACTGAATTGATTTGATTAACTAGTACAGTGATATAATTTAAGTTAGTGTTGGTTATATTGTATTATTTCATATCTATGTTTAAATTGCAAATGTCTTTGATATTTTAGATGCAGCCAATGAATAATGTAAACAGTTATAACGTGAAACTTTAGGGGGAAATGTGAATGAGGATGTTTGTTGACTAGGATTTTAATATAAATATATATATATATATATATATATATATATAAAAGAAAAAAAGTACAGGAAAAACAGTAAATAAACTAAGAGTCAATTTGAAATGAGCTTGAATTGAGATAAGTTGAGTGATAACTGAGAGGATGACACAACGAGAAAATGAAAATGCAAGGGCTGAAACCTTCATATTCCTTTAAGGCTGCTCCAAAATTCTTGATCATTTTAACCATAAACCGCAAAATATGAGACAAATATGTTGACAGATACATTTTTAAACACAGTTTAGTGAGTCAGTCAGTTAGAAACAACTCCTGTATCGGTCAAATGACTTTCATGAAATGTTTTGCTCTATGATCTTGACGCATGCACCTATGATCGGTGTTGCTGGACCCATCACTAACAGAAATGCTCAGTTTGAATCTCCCAAAAATCTGATTGTTGAAACTTCCTTAAAACTTCTACGCTGAAAGGAGCAGATTTGATATTTTAAACTTTCTCACTATGAAAAGCTTGAAAGCTTGCTTAGTCACTATTATTAGCATCTGGTATCAAACAGCCTTGAACTTTTAAGGTAAAATTCTCCTTCGATTAGTGAAAATATCTCATAGGCCGTCTACTATAACCCTCCTATCATAGTTAGACCCTTTTTCTAACATAAAATTCTCCTGCATTAAAATCTATTCAGTCTAATCTTTATTGCACCATGTGAATATAAAAAGAAAAGACTTGTTTAGGTAACTCTTATTACATTTGGTCTTTAAATTAATACTAAAACTTGCAGTAAAGCAATGGATTTCATCTTGAGGAGTAACATTGATTTCTCTTTTTAATAGCAACTTGGCATGAAAACGTACTTTCTAAGCAACAAATTAACCTGTTATCTTTAGTTATTATGTCTTAGAAGCAGGGAAATTGGTTCATTGGTTTATTTAGGGAAATGAGGGAGTTTGAATAAAGCCAAACTACGGCGGAAAAAATTAATCGGAAATAATCATAATTCATTGATTATTGAAATAATCTTCAACTTATTTAGTAATTGATTAATCGTTAACTTGAGTGTAGAGACTCTACAACATACTGACGGAGCAACCAGCCCTTGAACAGCAATTCTGTCTAAACTATATTAAAAAAAAGATAAATATTTTGCATTTAAGATAAAAAAAAAAAAAAAAAAAATGTATGTCAATATGCTCTATCCACAACTCCTCAGGTGGAAAAGTTTTAGTTTCACATGGTTTCATTTTGTAAAAAGCCTTCTTTAAGTAAACTTTGGCTATCCGATTACTAATTGATTAATCATAAAAATTATCGTCAGATTAATCGATTTGCAAAATAATTGTTAACAAGAATAGAATAGAATAGAAACACCTTTGTTTCCCTACCATGGGGTAATTTGGGCAGCTCTGTGGCTAAAACAAGTAAAGAAAACACATCCGATTTACACACTAGATTAAGTTATACAAACAAAAAGCTCATTAAAATATGAGCTGTACAACAGAAGAAAATAACTTATCAGAAAGTTTAAAAAAAGCAACTATTAATAGATAATAATAAATGCATAATGTTCAATATTAAAAAGAAAATAAATGAATATGACTGACTGTAAAAACAAACACATTATTAACACTTATTTCTATTCACATGCAGAGGGATCCTGAACCTGTGTTTTGTTTTGGTCTAGTAAATTGAGGAGACGCTTACTTTCACTGTCAGCAAAAGCTTGCTTAGGAGGAGGGATTGCTGCAGAGTCAATGTCTCAATTTAATTTGCTGGGTTTCATTTCTTACATTCCTTTTCATCAGTTTTATATTAAATTCCGCATGCTGCATACTTCAATGTAAAGAACTTCTGCTGATCTCTTGTTGTCAGGTACCACAGCTAGTTGCCGGGTTTTTTAGTCGAGGTGGTCATAATCCGAAGTGGATAAGAAAGTAAAAACCCTGCACAGAGATCAGTTTCAACATTTGCATTTCAAGCTCCACAATCCAGACTAATCACCCGAGGATCTAACCACCTGGTTAATTAACCAGGATGAAGGAAAATGAGGCGGGGCTTTTATCCACCACTGGTCATATTGTTGTGCCTCATAGGTGTATGGTTTTGTTTTCCTCCCTCAAATCTTGAAAACATCCTGCAAATAATCCTTACAGTCAGGAGGAAAGACAGCTTGTCAAATGTTTTTCTGCAGTTGAAAAAAGGATCAGCCTAAATATCTTTATTACCCACATATACACAGAGATTTTTATCTGTTGCCTTCAGATTAAGTGTCTTAATTTATACAAAAGCATCTTTTTTATTTTTACAAATAAGTGTAAGGTTCTGCTTATCACCCTCAGATATTGTATTTTAGTTGAGTTTAGTTTTCTCTCACAGATGAAAAAGTCTTTTTTAACATTTGATCTTTAAATGAAGATTTTCCTGTTATAAAAGATTTAAAGGGAGTCTGTTGATTTGAAGCTAAAGCTGCAGCATGAAGGCAGGTTTCGATATAGTCTCTTTTGGCTTAGAAATTATGTCATTTTCTTTCTTGCACTTCTGATAGAGATATTTGTGACTCACTCTGTTCTCACAAAGGTTTTCTTTACACTGTTTGTGGTCAGGGCTGCGGGATTGTTTACTGTCGAACCAGAGAAGGCTGTGAAACTGTTGCTTACCAGCTGACCAAGCTTGGAGTCTTAGCTAAGCCTTATCATGCAGGTAGGATGTTGAAACGAGTGTTTTGTAGACCTACGTGTATTTTGGAGTTCATGTAGAAAGTTTGTTTTTGTTTGCAGGTCTAAAGGGAGCCGATCGCACAGAGGTGCAGAATGAATGGATGCAGGGGAAGGTGCTGGTTATCGTTGCAACAATCAGCTTTGGCATGGGTGTGGACAAAGCTAATGTCAGGTAAGAAGACAAATATTCTATGTTTGCAGTTAGATTTTTGTTATTTATTTTTTATAATGTGGCAGATTTGTTGCACACTGGAACCTTGCAAAGTCTTTGGCCGGATACTACCAAGAGTCTGGACGAGCAGGTAGAGACGGTCTGCTCTCCCTGTGTCGCACCTACTATAGCCGGAAGGATAAAGAGCAGCTAAGCTTCCGGATTCGCCAGGAAATCACCCGCAGGCAGGTAGGATTGACGGCAGAGCAACCTGAGATCAATGAGATGCAATCAGCAGAATGTTTGCATGAAGATTTTTTTATTTTCTGCAGGAGAAACGAGGCACTTCAAAGGAGTCTGACAAAGCAGCCCTTTCTGACCTGGAAGCCATGGCTCTGTTTTGTGAACAAGAAGGGTGAGAAAAGTGTATATATATATTATATACAGTCACTGCAGTAAACTAGAGTACAGTAATATTCCCACATATTTCAACTATTCCAACAGTTTCAGGTATGAACATCATTTCTCTGAATATCTGAGTTTCCATTTCCAGACAGCAGATGGCAGCATTACTCTCTGAATATTTTTAGAGCAAAACCTACAAAAAATATAAACTTTGTTTTTTAAAGTTTTTCAGAGCAGATCATTTCTTTTTTCTGAAAAAAATTCTGTATGTTTTTGTTTTTTCTTTGTAAAAACAAACAAAAAAAACAGCTTGAATGTAGGGCTGGCCAATATGGCTTAAAAATGATTCTGATTGATCAATTAATTTTATTAATTTATTATTTATATTTTTCTTATTTAAGGTTAATTTAAAAAAAAAAAGATAAACAAATTGTTTTGCTTTAAAAAACTAACACTCCTCCATCTGGTAGCTGACCTCAAATTAAATAGTAATTACTGTTTAAATAATAACAATTCAAATAATCATGTTTCAGATCAAACACTGAATATATAACAAATTAAATGTTTGCAGCGAGTGGCATCACACAGTTTTTCAGTTAGAACTACACATCTAAGAACAAAAAGTGAAGAACTGATGTCACTTAAAGCTATGAGTGGAAAATTTATTGTTCATAAACAAAAAAATGTGATTAATGGATTAAATGGTTAATCCAAACCCTATTTCAACAATGGTATCATTTGTTTGCACCAAAGAGAAGGATGGAGTGACCCTTGTAATGAAAGAACTCTAGAATGCTGAGATGTTAATAATTATTTGCTATTTTATCATGAATCAGGGATCTGATGTCTTCACCAACTATATTTTATGCAATTTGCTTTAATTGGCTTTTTTAAGGGCTAAAACACATGTTTTTAAAGGAAAATTAATTGAACCATATTGAGTATTTTACCAACTCCTGTTTCTGCTTACAGATTGGTATTATAACTGCTGGGAGAAACAGCATTGGGTTACATTAGATTAACAATAGCGGTTTTAAAAAAGGAATATAGTTCCTGATTGCTAACCATCAACTTCTTTTAAATCCTTCCACAAGTGCTGCTTTGGTAGCTCTCTAAACTCTCTTCTTGATGAGCAAATTTCTAAAGAAATCTTTCTGAACCCAAACAGGAGCAGGAAACTTTGCTACTCTTCATTAACTTTCATTGTTTCCATCCAGCTTCTAAATACTTTATTTTTTGCTTGCCTTTTTTACATGATGAACGTTGAAGTGAATCTAATTTGACTTATTCCTGAAAGTAACAGAAGAAACAGCGATTTGTGCCTTTTTAAGGCGAAAACACCCTAAGAAGTATTTACTTTCGATATGAAGACTAATCTAATTTTCCTCAGGCATCCCATGATTCCAGATCAGTATAAAACATTCCCAAACAAACACGGCTTTCTTCTGATCGACACTGTGCAGCTCACTGATTTTTTTCAGCCCAGAAACATGTTGGGTCCTGTGTACTGACATACGCCAGCTGGGAACTGAATCCCCAGGTTAGAGGAGCTGTTGATGCTTCGCGGGCTCCAGGGATGCTTCCAAGGAATGTTGCTGTTCCTGAAATCCTGGCAGCATTAATGGGTGTGCTCCGCGGCCTTGAACACAATCCAAGAGTTTGCTTTGTTGTTCTGAGGCTCCGCCCAGTTTTTATGCAAACGGTGTATGGTTTATATCCGACACCCAGTGAGGATTTCTAAGCATTTCGCTTATCAGATCTGCAGGAAAAAAAATAAAACTGTCTGAAAGTAACACGTTCACTCAGACGTCGGGTCTGTCCTGTTTGGATTTACACCTGGAGCAGCAGCAGCAGCTCATACAGGTCAGCCCCGCCAGCAGGATCACCATTACTATTGGAGGAAGAATATATGTATGTTTAGTTTCAAAACTCTCTTTTAAGAGTATGCTGAAAAAAAGGGGATATGACTCACAGATGAAGATGAGGAGGATGAAGAAGGCTGCCAGGTCCACAGGGTGGGCGCTGGACAGACTTTGAAGCTTGAGCCATACTTTGTTCAGGAGGCCAACTGTCTCCTCCCTGGCATCCATCCTGCTGAGAAGAATCCAGAGCAAAAAGGTCATGTTGAGGTTCTGGTTTTAAAAAAATCATATTCATTGGAGTTTGATGTCTGTCTTCAAACAGGAGCGTTTTTAAAAAAAAGTTAAAAAAGATTCATACAATGTTATATATTTCTGCTTACATCCTTGTACGTCTGTAAATCTTTGCTGAATTTTTTGACCCGGACCAGCACAGTGTTATGTGCATTTCTATAACCAACTTTACTGAGATACTAGTATTTAAAAACCGGCGCAACCAGTTTCCTTCTGAAGGCAGCTAACTATAAAAGTGTAACATTTTATTTACCAGCTTTATGCATCTGGAGACTGAAGGTGCATATTTCTCTTTGAAAATAGTCTTACCTTATATTGAATGGACAGGCAGCATCTGTGGACATTGATCTTGCCTCAGAATCAAAAAGGATTGAGATCTGGACTTTGACTAGACCATTTGAACACATGCATCTGCTTAGATCTAAACTACTTCCTTTCAGCTTTGTCCTGCTGGAAAGTTAAACTCCTGCCCAGTTTCAAGTGGTTCCGATTTTTTTCTTTTAGTTGTTTCCTTGAAAGTGGGTGTGAAGCTCTGTTACTATTCTGGTTGTATGAGCTGGTTTCTATTATAACGAACTAAACCCACTAAAATGACATTAGGTCTACATGTATTAAAGGAAGCTTCAGCTGAGTCCTCTAATGGCTGAGGACGGATGATCGTTGAAAACACGTGAAATGGAGCTGCTTAGATTACTTTAATAACAAACATATGCTCTCTCTGAACAGCGTGTTCCAATCAGAAGCAGCTCTGAACAGAGTCAGCCACAGGAATTTACCGTCAGTTATGATTTTACTCTTTGATTTTTGTTGAAATTCAGACAAAATCAAAGAATATAGAAGATTGAGGTAGTTGGGTTTGTTCGTTTCCCCTTCGAATGTATTAACCTGCTGAACAGATCAACTCTTTTCTGTTTCAGTCTACGGAGAAGTGCTTTTTTTGTTGTCTTCTGTTTGTTTTTACCAATGGAATCAATGCACTATAGACTATCGGCTCTGATGAGTTTAAAACATTGAGAAACAATCATCATTTAAAAGATGTTGAAGTAAACCAGTCCTTTTTTGCACTTTTAAGACACTATTTTCTGTTTCCCTCTGCTGAATCTATTTCTAAGTCAGGTTTTTTCTCAGAAAGAATGAAGGACACCTACCTGTGAGAGTCTCAGCTGTTTTCTCACACTTAGGAGTTACGGAGCCAACAGATGAGGGAGTGCACTGGGTGGAGACGGTGTGAGCATGCTCTATGCTCCCAGTAGCTGCTTTCTGCAGAACGTCTTGCTTGGCAAAACTGGTTAGTTGGTTTGTTGTTGGGGAGGTGCAACCAGAAGTTGACGCTGGTCCTAAAGTGAGACTATAAGTAAGATTCATACGGAGAAGAGAGGCCTTTTCTTCCTTTGCATTCACTCTTCAGATCTTCCTCTAGTTTCCTCAGAGGCTTTCCAGTTGTCTTTGACAGTCGTGTCTGGGAGGGACTATTGCTTTACTTTGTGCTCCTCTCTGCCTGGCTCAGACTTCCCTGTTTCACAGAGGAAGGTGGCAGCGTTCCCATTCCCAGCATTGGGGTTTGGATTCTGTTGATGTGAATGATTCCCAAACAGGCTCTATGGCTGCGAGGGGGGGTGGATATTAGTTCTTACGTAACACATTTTCCAAAACCGCTGTTTTTTTTCTTTATATATAAACTTGATAACTGGAATTTAACATGCAGATTGTGTTAAAATAAAATAAAAAAAGGCATAAAAGTGCTTATCTGCTTCTTAACTAAAACATGTGTGCCGTCTACATAACAGCAGGTGGATCAATAAGGCGCCACAAAGCCGTGACAGCAGCTGGACCACTCTCTCTTTTCTTCTATCAGGTGCCGCCATGCCATCATCTCCAAGTATTTCGACGACAAGAAGCCAAACTGCGCGGGCGCCTGCGACTACTGCAGGAATCCCAAAGCTGTGCGGGCACAGCTGGAGCGAGCGGCAACCCTCAGCACCAAGACCGAAGATGGCCAGAGCGGCGGGCCCAAAGGACCCTTCGGCTACCAGCCGGAGCAATATGAAGGAGGGAAGAAGGGCTATGGCTTTGAAAGGCAGGGACAGCGTTTATGTCACAGAAATATTGGTGTTTGGTGTAAAATAATAATGATGCTGTGGGTCGCCTCTAAAGGTATGATGAAGGGGAGGAAGGAAGTGCTGAAGAGGAGGCCAAGAAGAGGAAAAAAGAGTTTTCTGACTTCTACAAAAAACAGATGAATCTACGGAAGGTGATTGCTAACATTAATTTCACATCGTCTATAAAGATGGAGGAGGAACACCTGTCAAACCTGACAATAGCTAAAAATGCTCTTCAGAGATGGTCTGATGAATTTTCCAAGTAGAAATTAGCAAAATACACTGTAAAAAATCAAAAAAATTATTTTTCTTAAAACAAGAGCATATCTTCTTGAAATAAGGAGGTAAGTGAGACACTTTGCCAATGGAACAAGACAATTTACATTTAGGATAAGAAAAACAATTTCATTGTATTGCTTCAAATGCATATTATCTAATTAGCTTATTTTAAGAGTAAAAATACTGAGTTCATTTGCAAATTTTCTTATTTACCTAATTAAATTGAAGCTAAATACACTAAACTTAAGAAATGTTTACTTATTTCTAGGTTAGATTTTTGAAGTGTAGGGAATTCTCCCAAACTTTAAAAAACTTGCCCAATTTTAGCTCAGCTTCTGATCTTATAATCGGTAAATAAAAATATCTTAAAATAAGTGTATTTACACTTAATTTAAGTAAGTGAATAAGATGAGCTGCCAAGTATTTTTTTTTTTTACCTTAAAATAAGATACTTCGATATTATGCACTTGAACAGAGAGACTGCATTTGTTTTTTAATATTTAAATAAAAACTATCTTATTTCATTGGTAAAGTTTGTCATTTACCTGCTTAATCCAAGAAACATGTACTTATTTTAGGAAAATATGTCTGTCTTAGATTTTAGGTGTCTTTTACTGTATTCTTATTACATTTTAGGTTGTAGTTTGGCAAACTGTCTTAAGGTGGGGTTTGGCAGCTACTGCGTTATTGAAATATACTGGATTAAGAAGATTCATAGTTAGAAGAAAAAAAACATATATATTTTTATTGGATTATCTTTTTTTATGCTCTATGTTTTGGATCTCTGAACGTAAGCTGTTATAAATGCGCAGCCATAAACTCAATATACTAAATACTAAATATTTTATGATAGCTGACCCCCCCAAAGTTAGAATATTGTAAAACTGTAAGAAAACTGGCTAATCTAGATTAAACCTGTTTTAGATTTTTTTATATTATTGTGTCTCTGAGCATTTTTACCTCATGTTAAGATAGGGGTTATTTATGCACTCATATGTTCCTAATTGTGAAACTTTTCACTAATGAAGGATTGAGGTTCAGGTTTCATTAAAAGAAAAAAAAACCCCAGAACAGTTGTTCCCTCTTTCCACATCATCTATATTTACGCTATTTGTTGCAAAGACTGACCGGCGCCCAGCCTGTTTTGGCCAGTTTTGTTCAAATTGCTCCCATATGTTGGAGAGAGCTGGCACATTAAGCTTTAAACACCTTACAGAACAAGTATGATTGCATGTTTTGATGCATATTTAACTGGGAAACATTTTAGTTTACATTGTGGCTTTCACAGGGTGTGGCTGAAAGTCACCTCAGTGTGGAAATGCTAACTCACGTCAATGCATGTGTGTCTTTAGGGATCCAACAGCCAGAGAGAGGACTTTGTTCCCCCAGGTAACACCCACAGAGGAATACGACACTGATGATTCATGTGGATCTTTTGTGGAGTAACAAGTTCTCCCTGTTGTGCAGATGCTGACTGTCCGCTTAGAGAGGCCAGCAGCCAGAGGATCCCTCGGCTCACTGTCAAGGTATGTGACAAAAAACTGGAATGGTGCCGATACATTCCTCCTGCACTGGGTGCTCATTAACTCCCATGTGAGTGATGTTTCATCAGAGGTCCTGTCCAGCTGCAGAAAGATGGATGTGCAGAGGTTCAATAAAACGCCAGCAAACATTCTTCCTACATCTGTTCTTTATTTACTTGCTTTGTTTTCATTTGATGCAAGAATGCCAACACAGTTTAAGTTAGGAACACTCTGACTCCTTCCTTCCTTCCTTCCTTCCTTCCTTCCTTCCTTNTCCTTCCTTCCTTCCTTCCTTCCTTCCTTCCTTCCTTCCTTCCTTCCTTCCTTCCTTCCTTCGTGATTATTTCACTTAGGTCTGTCGAAGCAGAGAAGCATAAAAAACAGGTTCAGGATCAAGGCCCTCCAAGATCATAATTTAGGAAATATCAAAGTAGATTTGATTTTTAAAGTATAAAACAAGTTAGCACATGACTCTATATTACTCAATTTTAAATGAGTAATCACTTTAGACTGAAATGTCAAGGAAATCTGATTTTAAGGCTCATTTCAGATCAGAGAGCTTTGCCTGTACCGTCTGCGTGATGCTCTGTGCAGCCAGCAGGGGGCACAAGACACATTAAGGTCAGAGACTTCAAATATTCACAACAACAACAACAACTAATCGGCAAAAACCTGATTGAATGAAACAAATAACTATCTTTCCTTTTTTATTCCCTCTCTGTCTCTCAGCTGTCTGAGTTCAGCGGTGGATATAGAATATGAAGCGTTCAAAAGCAGCAAATCCTCCAACTTGTACAAAGCTGCTATCTTTAAGAAGGTAGAGGAAAATGTGTGAGTTCTAATATGAACCATGCAGAATAAAGCTGGGGATGTTTAATTATGGAACTGATCTGGTTTCCTGAAGGAGTCGGAGATCAAATCAGCAGCTGGGACAGATGAAGGCAGCAGCAGCAGCGATTCAAGAGAAGCTGAGACAAAACTCAAAGCAGAAGGAAGCTCATCTTCTTTATACCCAGAGGATCTTCAGGGCTTCACCTCTGCTTCTCAGATCTACTCAGTAAGAGTGCTGTTTCACACAAACATCCTTAAAGCTTCAGAGACTTACACTCCTGCTTTTTAACTCTCCTCCTTGTTGCTCCAGATGAAGCGGAAAAGAGTGGGTGCAGGTGTAAGGGGCTCCTCTAGCTGCTTCCAGTCTGCCAGGAATCTCCTGAATCCCTCCACCAAAGAGATGGAAAATGGCAGCTTTTTCAGTGACTCCGCCGAGGAGTCAGACTTCAAAAAGATCAGAGTGACTGAGACACTGAAGGAGACCCCGCCGGCCCAGACGTCATCCATCAGAGCCAGGGCCACCGCCATCAGCGCTTCCCTAAACAGTCCCAGCAAAGGAGGCAGAGCCATGAGCAGGAAGCAACAGAAGCTGGCAGAAGCGGCAAAGAGTTCTCGAAACATCTCCCAGTACTTTGTGAAAAAAAGCCTAGCAGAGGAGGAGAGCCGTGAAGAGGCGGAGCCTCTCCTGGAAGCAGGTGGTTTGTTATCAGAGACTCTGGGAGAGATTTATGAGGAGAGCATCAGGCAGGAGCTGCAATGTCTGGCTGCAGGGGAAGAAACAGAGACCCATCCTGAACTTTTAGAGGCTGATGATCTGATCCTGATTGAACCAAAAACTGAAGTCATCGTTTTATCTGATGATGAAGACGAAGAAGTGGAAAAAAAGGAAACGTCGACGCCGGTTGAAGATACTACTCAAGAAGATATGACCACTACCACAACGTATTCTAACATCAGTAAACATTTCTATCAAACTTTACAGGAATAGTCTTTTTTGTGGATGCTTAACTACTTTTTTCACCTCTTATGCAGACCAAACAACCCTGAAGAAGCAGAAAAAGCAAATGACCGACCCTTTGTTCAAGAGGTATGGGATAATAATTATACAACTAGCTTGAACTGTTTCCCTATTTGTCTCATTATAGCCACAAACATCATTGTGAGATTATATTGGCAACACAACACAAGTAGGTAAATTATACATGATTTTTATCTTTGTTTAACCATAAACTATCCAAAAACAGTTGCATGCAGTTGTTTTCAGCCCCTATCGCTCCAATACTTAAAAAAAAAAATCACGAACGACCAGTTAGTAAACACAACTTCCCTGCCTTTAAACATGATAGAGGCTGCATTATGCTGTGGAGATGCTGGTCCGATTTGAAAGATTAAAGGTATTTAAAAATGACACTTTGAAAAGAGGTTTTAGAGCAATAGGTACATATTTTCTCAGCCTCGAAAAGTTAGAAGTTCTCTTATATTCAACCTTTTGTTTGTGTACTTTAAAGAGCGGCCCAAAGAAGAGACTTTCATAATGATGTAGACTTTCCCTTTTACACCGTCCACTTTTTCTCATTCAATTCAATGTTAAGCTGTGTTATTATACTACGAGTAATGATTATTTTAACAGCTGCCATTCTGTGTTAGAGGAAAAATGCAGTGCTGTCAGTTAACTTTTCCTCTCGTTAATTTGTCCTTGTAATTATTAATCATTCAGAGGTTCACAGATGCTGCTCACAGAGTTTAAAACTAACTAAGAAGCTGGTTTTATTAGACATTCTTCATCCAGTCTGAGCAAAGATCTCAGTCTGCTGTTGTGCCAAACTGGTTGAACCATACTGCCTACTTCCTGTTGCTTCATTGCATGAAATTTAATCTTATCCTTAGTGATGGGTAAGGGTGCTGTGTGTTTGCAGTTGGCAGACGAGGTGAAAGCAGATCAGAAGGAGTCTTCTTCTGAAGCGAAGCGCAGCCGGACATTAGGAGTAACCAAGAGAAGAGTGACGTTTAACCCGGAGGTGCAGAAGAGGTTGCTCCCGCCGCCCAGCAAGCCCACTGAGGCGGTGACCCTGAAGGAAGCGGCTGATATCGTGGTGCGTTATCTAGACCCTTATTACCATCAGGGGAAGTTTGCCAACAAGGTGGGTAGGACTAGTAATAAAGTGAATTATCTATTTAGTGTCTGTGTTTAATGGATGAATGAATGTTTTTACAGGCTGTGTTTAAGTCTTTTGCACGGTGCTTGTCTCACCTTCTTACAGAGGGTAAAAGTTGTGGTAAAAGCCAAGGTAACTGAAGCATTGCAGTCATTTAATAGTGTGTGTGACTCTGCATTGAACGTAATCTGTTTGTCTGCAGTTAAAGGTGAAGCTAAAGATCTCATCAAGAGGTTTTTCACCAGCGTAAAGCACTGCGAGAGCGAGGCCGACTGGGAGCACCTTAAGAGTCTGTACAGCTCCAAAGCCACAGAGAGCAGGGAGTGATGGGACATGTAGTCCTTTCCTGTCAAAGCCTTATTCGTCTGTGCCTGCCAATTCTTCTTGTTAATATGAATTTTATTTAAAAAGTTTTGAAAGAAGGGCTTTAGTGGTTTTTTATGTGATGTCAGTATAGAGCAATAAGCCATTCTTGGTGTTAGAAAAGAGGTAGGACTGTAGGCATTTATAGTGAAAAAGTGCTCTTAATAGCTTAATAGCTGAACCGAGGTTCAAATCTGTGGAGAAATTAGGTCAAGTTAGCTTGAAAAATAAGACCAAAGATCCTAAACTTGAACTACACTCCACAGGTTTTCTTTTCTGGTTGCCATCCTGACTCTCCGTAGCAAAACAGAAAGCAAAACAAAGGATAAATGAGTGGAAAACGCATTATTCCTGCTATTTGATACAGTGGAGGACCTGTCATGATGCGGGCTCGTTTGTCTTCCATAGGACCTGCTAGGCTGCTATAATAGTTTACTAAAAATTTAATGATAAATAGCAGAAAACAGAAAAGGCTCAGCTCAGACCTCCGACCTGAAATCTGTTGAAAACCCGACTAGCGAAAAAGAAAAGAGGATCATTGATGATCCCAACTGTACCAAGAATGACAGATCCTCGCTCGGTGTGCTCCAAACCTCTCTCTTTGAGAGAGTAGGCAGTAAAAAGTACAGACATGAACGCTGCTGACTGTTGTGTTTCAGTGTAATAGTTACACCGTTCACTAATGTGCCAATTCCTGCTATGAGAGAAAGATCTGAGCCACGTAGCATACTGTAGTCATTCAGGTCGACTGTTTACGTTTACCCTCACCTTGGCTCTGAAGGGGTTAAAGGTTTTAAATATAAAAAAGGTTTCGATCTGCAGAAATGTCCACTGAGGATCCTATTTTTTTCATATCCTTCAAATTACATAGCAGCCTTAAAAAGCCGAACAGCAGCATCTTGTTAAAACAATTTTCAATGAACCTGCTCCCTTTATTTAAATGTTGTCCCTTTCAGCTGCAATTTCAAACCTCATAACTACATGTATATATCTGTATATTTGAACCTCATTTGGATAAACCCACTTTTTGATGTCACATCTTGGTAAAATGCTACACTTCACCGTGTTGAGGCTTAAAGATATTTTACTTTAAGGGGCTTCACATTGCTGAAATATGCTGAAACAACTAAACAAATGTGAATTATTATGATTGATTGTGCTTTTTGTTCTTTAAGTCAAAACTTGTATGAATGTGTGGAAGAAACACTCAAAACATAGATTCTTCAATGTTTATAATAAAGTTTATGCTATAAATGAAATGTTTAAACATCTGTTTTCACGGAAGGAGGAGTGAGCTATGCAGTAAATGCTGACATTTTGTTCTGAGGCTGTATAAATAAATAAATATGTGAGATCTCAAGAGGGCATATTTAACAGATTAATTTTAATCTATAATGAATTTTAATCATTATTTACATGTCATAAACCTGTGAGCTGTTACTAGCCTCTAATATAGAGACATATAGGGCTTTTATTCTTTATTATATCATAAATGAAAGAATTGTTATCAAAATATTCAAACTTTTAGGGTTTCTATTATAGCCAACTGATGAGCTCTTTGGATGTAGGCTACATTAACGACATTAACATTTCAAAGGGAAAGTTTGAAATAATGTTATGTAGTATTTTGTAATTGCCATATGCTTGGTTCTCCTTAGAGGTCTAGTTTTGAAAATTAATATGCATTCTATTTTTTTTTAATTCTATTTTAAAACTATATCGGTAAGAAAGAAAATGATACAGTTTACATTAGGTGAGTTGAAGGTGCAGAGAGACTTTCACACAATCTGTAAAGAAATCAGGCAGAAGAATAATAAATTGGTCTATTACCCCTATTTACATAAGTATTACTTAGTGTGCATATTGCAAAATGGAACACAAATTAAGTCCATATGCAAAATAATAATTGTTGAATTAAAAGTAAGTTTAATCATGAGGGAAAATAGAAGGAACTGTATAGGTGTATCATGGTCACTTCCTGTTTCTGGTTTGAACATGAGGTGAGATTTGTGTGCAGATAGTGAAAACTTCAACCATCGAATTCTAGACCTTGGATTTCACCTATATTGTTTTACTGAAGCTAAAGCTATATATATATATATATATATATATATATATATATATTTAATCAGAGTTAGGCTTTGTTTTAATACAGTACTGAGAAATGACGTGAGTCAGTTGGCTCTTTACCCAGGGTGCAATAGTTTAAGGGGAATCATGGAAAGGATGGTTCTACCGGTACATAAAATGTGCCAAGGTTGCCAGGGGTCAGTGTTTTCTTATGGGGGTAGAAAAGAAAAAAAATATAAATATAAAAACTGGACAAAAGGGCATCATTTAATATATTATTGAGTCACAAAGCGAAGTATGCAGACTGCTGATAGAACTGTGATCCTATTTTAATACGAGTGAAGCTAGAACCTGACTGTAATTCCTAAATTATTGTTAAACTGAGTTGTGAAAGGGGAAATATTCAATTGTTCCAAGGGATAATTCAGTTATGGTCTATTCTGTCAGTAACAACATGATGTAATATTACACTGCAAGAACAGTTTAAAAAAAAGCAAACATTTCTTAAAATAAGTGTATTTGCCCTTAATTTGAGCGGAAGAATAACATGATCTTCAAAGAATTTGTATTTTTCTCCTTATAAGAAGATAATTGCATGTTATTCTCTTGAAATCAAATAATTTTCTATTGTTAAATAATCTCACTTACTCAAATAAGAGAAGGAAATACTCAAAATTTTAACAAAAAAATTGGCTTATTTAGATTTCCACTTTTGCTCCCAGTCTAGAGCCATCCATGATCACAGGCACTCGGTCAGGTTCACCAATCTAATTTTCTGTTGAATTTCTTGTCGAAGAAGAGTGTGTAGTTCTTTGGATTGGCAAAGTGTAGATCTAAAATACGTGACAGAAAAGCCAAAGAATTCTGCAAATGAACTGCTGGCTAGAAGGTCTGCAGTCATTCTTTCTAGAATTGCAGCATGCATTCTAACTATCTTGAGTTCAGGCCAGATATCTTCACACCAAAGTTTGAAAACATGCAACTATGGAAGTGATCAGAGCATCAGAATTCATTAATACGGTGGTGTGATCCTTGGCATTACAGCGTAACTCAAGGATCCTGCCTGCTTGGTCATCAGATCTTTTCTGAGGGAGGCTGTGCATGCTGGCCTCATCCCAGCCCAACAGTGTCAATGCACAGCTTGCAGCACTCCTAGTTTGGTAATTATTTTTTGCAACCCCATGACTGTTAAACCTGCAAAGAAAGCAAACAAACATGCAAAATAACTGATCTACTAACAGATACTTAATGTATGTACACAGAGAGGTTGCAGGAAAAACAACAAAAGCTAATCCATTAGGCTGCCAATATATTAATGTTAATATTAACACTTTGTAAGGACACTTACATATTACAGATCTGCAATAAACACTCAGCCATAAACCTTTAAGTTTATTTGATTCATGGAGATTATAGGGTCATGCTTTCACAGTATCATGTTGATGTTGTGGAACTAAAGGGGCGTGGCCTAAAACTCACAGCATTGATGGAAGATAGTAGCATAGGCCAAGTCTGTTAGATGGACAGCATTTCCTCTCCACATGAACGGCGATGAAACCCACACTTGAAGCCTGCACTCAGAGTGGGACACATAGATGTCCCCCCCACTGGCAGCTGGACAGCCTTGCCTCTTAATCTGCAGCAGACTGCTGGGTCTGTATGTGTGTTTTTATGGAGGAATTTTCTCTTTTGTGCTCCTTGTAAAACACATCAACAATGATTGACTTCAGAGTTTTTGATGTGTTTGAGAAGCTTTTCATATAGTAGATCAATTCTTGCTCCTCTATGATGAGTCTGAAACAGAGGCGGAGCTAGAGGGTGGGCAGCACTGTGCCCCCCTCTACCCCCACCAGGTGATTTGTTAATCTCATGTTCATGTAGTTCACTCCCTCCTGAACAAGCTTTTCCTTCTTAAACAGAGAGTGGCTGTAGTGATACTCTCAAGTGGACGTTCCTGATTAATTTGACATATTGTTTGTATTAAACTGACAGAAAATACACAAATTAATCATTGTGCACATCAATATAATAACATTAAAGATGACAAACACTTTACAGAACTTGTGTTTAGGTTTTATAAGGAAGAAGTGAAGGCTGTGTGTCATCTAGGAGTCTATTAGCGATACAAAACTACTGCTTAACTCATTTAATGTGTATATTATACAGAAAGATTAATTCAGTCAGTATTAGGAAGTTTTTTATGACAGCATATTTTTATAGGTTTTTATTTTCCTTTTAATTATATCTTTGTGTTTTTCGCTTGTGTCTTATTTGATCCTGCCTCTTGTCCATGACATATAATCTCAATTAGACTATACCAGTTAAATGATGGTGAAATAAATTGGTGTGTAAATAAGTGTGTAATCTATTGATAAAGGCCTTGGGTGTTTTATCTGGAAGATATAGATGTTGTGCTCGTTCATTTTTCTGTTGGTATAATGTGATTAGGAAAGATCAAATGTTATCAAACTCAAGGCCAATTGGCTGATTAAGGCCATTAAGAGCCAAAGCAGGCAGTAGAGGCATTTGTTGTTTTTATGGCTAAAAGAACTTAATTGGAGTAAAGATCTAACACCGCAGCAGTGTGTAAATGAAATGATGAAACCTAATAGTAAACCTAATACATTTAGATGAAACAAGTTTGAGTGTTTTTTAAAAAAATTTGGTCTAAAGTAACATTTAACAGATGAAAACTGACAGTATCTCAATACAACTGGAGCTCTCACCTTAATCATAATTAAGCCTTAGTTTACGCAGAGTTGTAAAGAAACAATGAAATTGGTCCAAGAGGGCCATCAAACACTGCGTTTGTTCTAGCATATATTCTCAGTATTTTTTCAGTATATATGTATTATGGGGTTGGGGGTTGGTGTCAGGATCAGTTCTACAGGGCACTAGCCCCTGTAGGCCCCTGTATAGAACCGCCCATGTCAGCCCATCCCTGTGAACATTTTCTCGCTCTGCCACTGCTGTGAAAATAAATATTCACCGTCAAACTTGGACCAGACATAATATAATGTCACAATATAATGTTGCAAGTTTTGTAAAGTGGGAAAAACACCTTCGTATCCTCACAAAGCTTTGAGCGCTTTCAGCGCCACACACCACCACCAGAAATTCGTCGAATTATACGAATAATAATTTCCCACGGCTCCTGAACGCCTCAGCAGCTGCGTTCGCTGCCAGTCTGCGTCTTTAAAGGACGCTGCTCAGCAGCCCCCATTGAACCAGCCTCCTAGGAGGACCAACGGCGTCCTCCACCTGCTCCATCTCTGCTGTTTGGTCTCCTGGATGCTGCTGGAGCCGATTATAGAGAAAACAGCTGCTCTGCCTGCATCTTCCCCTCCAGCCATTCACCAGCTTTAAGGGGCAGCGGTGCTTTTGTTTGTTTGCTGTCACTTCCGGAGGGGGCGAGTCTGCTCCTCTCCGCCGGTGGAGGAGGAGAAGTTCATCGATGCTCCGAGCTGGAAGGATGGAGGAGTTTGTAACAGAGGAGGAGGAGCCGTGGTACGACCAGCGGGACCTGGAGCAAGGTGAGGGTGCATCTATAGATGGGTGCGTTTATATCGTGAGGTTGTCAGTGATGCATCCCAGAATCCTCCTGCTGTTGGAAGTGAGTGAATGCTGCCTCTTGTTTCAGCTCCATCCTGGCACCCAAACACACCATCCATCACTGAACAGGCGCTGAATGCTGCATTCTGGCCTGCTCTTTTTGACAGGATTTTAGACTGTGAGACACATCCTCAGCTTCCAGACAGAAAATGCATTAGATCAGGTTTTCAGTAATGGATATGCTTCCAGGATATGGCAGGCACCATTATCATCTAATCAAACTACACAGCAGTATATATAATTGCTTACTTCCTGTCCAGATACAAGCTCTGATATTGGTTCTAAGTAGAGCTGCACGATCATATTTTAACATCTAGGTCTGCAGGTCCTACCCCAGCCTCCATGGGGCCCTAAACATAAAATTGAGTTGGGGCCCTCTGCTGCCATAAATATCTAGTACTAAATTTAGATAATTTTCACACCAATTCTAAACTAACTGCTGCTCCAGCAGTGCTGCTTACAGTCCCCTTTTATATGCATCATCTAGTGTTATAAAAAAATTAAAGTCTTTGATAAACAGTAATTTAAAGAAAAACAACATTGTATTAAAACGCACATATTTAAATGAAATTAACAATAAATTCTTAGCATGAAAATGAAATTTAAAAGTTGATAATTGGCTCTGAAAACTATGTAAATATATGTAACTATATGCAAAAGCTCTATTTAAAAGTATAAATGACCTCTACCCAAACATTCCTCTAATACTATCAACTCCCTCTGATGACATCACTGAAGGATCTGACATCCAGCTATGTATTTAATACTGATCTCTGCCAGGTTGCTGCTGGGAGATCTCAGGTAGTTCTTTATTAATTAAATTGTGGAAAAGCTCAATCCTGCAGATGCAACAGTGACAGTGAGAGTGCTGGCCAGCCTGAATAGCTACATGAGCATTTGGGTCGAACCCTGAACTAATTTTTGGAAATGTGAGTTAATGAGGTCATGTGTGCTTTCAAATGGCTTAAAGGTTTTCCATTTCTGAAGCCAGTGAGCTCTCATAACCATAAGACTGGTCTCCAAAAAAAAAAAATTATCATAGAGAAGTTCTTCTTCCTGTATGTGAGTCTGACCTCAAATCAATGTTTTTTCATTTAAAAGTAATGATTTCCACATTATTTTAGATATGATGTAAAAATACATAATTTTACTAGATAGAAAAAAAAAAACAAGAGGATAATAATGAAAACCAAGGGGATAAAAACCATAAAATTATCTGTGACTGTTAAGGAATTATATCCCACATGGAACAAAGGAGTTTTTCAGTTTGTTTGGGTTTTTAAATCTTGGACACAAGGGAAAAGGGTCCCTGGTTTCCCACAATGCCTCAGGCCTTCCTCACTAGCTGCTGTACATGAGCATGGGAAGATTTTCCATTTTATTAGAGAAAAAATAAACTCTAAATATCTGTTTCTGATGTGTATATTGGTAATATTATGATATCTCTAAATATTTTCAGATATCTAACATGCATCAGAATGATTACCCATATTTTTATTCCCTCTGGTTTATCCCAAAATGTTGACCCATTAAGAGCAAGTTTATGTAGATAATTGAAAATACTAGAAAGCTGCACTGTTTTTTTTTGTTTTTTTTTCATCTGAACAGCTGAATGTTGTTCTTGTATATTGCTCAGAATAGTTGTTTTCTTTTGCGTATTTATTACTTACTTTATTTACCATTTTAGTTTTAGAGGCTTAGCTGTATTACTAATGCAGTGAAAGAGCTGAATTGTTTGAATGTTAGGGGGAAAAAAGCGGAAATCTTGATGCACAGGAACGGTGAAGGTGAACACATTTTTTCCCACGATTTATTTTAAGTGATCTAAACTGTTAATTGATGAAAATGTTCAAATGCATGCCTCAAATTTGACCTGTGTGGAACCCCTGTCTGATAAATGCGTGTTTGAATCTTGCTCTTGGATAATTGGCAAGCAGCTGAGATCAGTGCTTCCCCTTAATGATTTAAATGGATGCAGAGCTCTCATCAGGGGTAATGGAGCTCTGGTGCATGTGTCCTCCTTTTAGCTGCCAGGCTGTCCTCAACATCACCCCCATCTCCTGATCACCTGCTGACCCAGAGAAACAAAGCAGCTTTGCACCTCATTAATGCATTGCACATCCATATAGAAGAGTAGAGCAGGTGGATTTGACTCTCTTTTTTTTTTTTTTTTTGCTTTTACCTTAAATCTGTTTCTTTTTTTAATGCCGTTATTCAGAACTGAGATTGGAGACATAAAATGCCCTCCTGGTTGAGCTGATTAGAGCTCCAGACAAAAAACCCTCCTTAGTTGGAGCTTTCAGGCTTCAGGGTCAGAGCAGAGGCATAATCGCCCTGCTTCCCTTTCCTGCTCTCATTCAATTTTACCCCAGAAATGAGGCTGTTACGCAACATCTGTGCAACTGTTAAACCCCTTGTGTGTTGGTTCTGATCCCACAAACCTCTAAAGTGTGCATCTGTGCAGATGGCGTGGTGTTGAGGTGATGTCATGCTTGTGTTACCGCAGCTCTAGGGGACTGAGTGTGATTCACACATCCCAGCAGAGCCACACAGCAGAAGATCTCTGATGCTTGGACTTGTTATTCTCTCTTGCTGTTCTCCTCTTTCAGGGAGTTGCATAACTCTGGACAGGAGATTGCAGCAAGACTGAAATGCAGAAATGATAACTCAAAGATTTCTGCTGCTTTCAATAATGATGGTGTTGTGATAAATGGTAATATAGAGATTCATGACAAGGATCTGCTGGTGTGTTCCTGTCAATGCTCATCATTGTGGTGAGGAAACACTCCCTCCATGTTTAGCAGTTGGTCTGAGTGACTGTTGTTTCAGCTCCAGCTATGGATGCCCTGCAGGCTTCTCTTCCTCCTGTTCGCTCCTGTTTTAATCTTTGAAGCCTAATCTGTTCTCCTTTCTCTGTTTTTGATAATGAATGAACGAATTTCAGCGGGAATGGAGCCGAGCTATTTGATGCTCTGCTGTAACAGAAGCAGAATACTGCAGTGGTTCTCAATAATCCCCGTCAGACAGAAAGCTAATGTTTTATATTTTTAAAAAAACATACACGGTACATTCCAGACATCTTTTCTGGGTTAAGATCTTTCCTAAAAGAAAAAAAAGGCCCTGCATTGTGGGCAGCTCATCTTCAAGTTTTTTTTTTTTTGATATATTTAGTTTTACCTTCTGCTGACTTTTCTACTTTTCTGACCTTGTTTTCCTAACGCCCATCCGATTAAGTTCAATATGTGTTCCATAAATATATTTGGAGTTATTTTTAAAAAGGCAAACTGCAAGCAGATAGTTAAACTTTTCATTTAGCCGATATTTTTGTTAAAATCTATTGTTTTGATGCAATATTCTAATCTCAAATGTCAAGGTTTTTTTTATTAGCTGGAAGTAAAAATATAATAGCAGGAATAAAGGCTTGCAAACATCAGTCTATATGTCATTAATCTAATTTTTTTCTCATTGACTCGAGTTACTTAAAGGGAGTTTTGATCATATTCTACCTTATTGAACGGGTCTGTATTATGCTTAGTTTAATCTTTCAATAAATAAAGGTGGTTCGGACCTTTCAATGCTACAATTATTTAATTATTTTAATAAGTCCTAAACTGAAAAGTAGAATATGCCTTTATATTGTTTTCTGATAATTATGCCTGGTTTTACCTCAAATAAACTGATTGTTGTTTTAATTCTGGATTTCTGAAATATCCGTGTTCTGGGAATAAACCTGTGAGGATATTCCGCTCTCCAAAAGATGCCGTTTTTGATTTAAAGCGTCAGATCTGGGATGCGCCTCCAGTTTCTGCATGAATAACAGTTTTTATGGTAAACAAATCTCTAACTGAGCGTTTATAGTTAAGAATCCACCCTTGGACCGAACTCATCCTTCAGATTTAATAGTTCTAATCAGGTCGATCTTTCCCTTCGGCGACCGCTCTCTCAAAGCTACAGTTGCTGTGCCTTCATAACCTCCACTGAGTATGAGTGTTGATGTTTCTCTTCCTCTCTTGGTTACATTTAGACCTGCATTTGGCTGCAGAGCTCGGCAAGACTCTGCTGGAACGCAACAAAGAGCTGGAGGACTCCCTCCAGCAGATGTACATCAACAATGAGGATCAAGTGCACGAGATAGAGGTATCATCAATCAAGAAATAATTCTGTTTGATTTAAAACTGTAACCTTTTTATCTTAGAGGCTTGTGCATTTCCTGCTGGATGATGATCTGTCAGATTAATCGTTGTTGTCCCTCTCTTTGTGACCAAACCGGTTTCATCTGGCAGTACCTGTCCAAGCAGCTGGAAATGCTGCGGGAGATGAACGAGCAGCATGCCAAGGTGTACGAGCAGCTGGACGTTACGGCCCGGGAGCTGGAAATCACTAATGAGAAGCTGGTTCTGGAGAGCAAGGCTTCGCAGCAGAAGATAGACAGGTGATCTTCCTGTAGCCCATAATGAGACGGCCACACAAGGCTGTCATTGGTTCATGTTGAGGTTTTAACAGGATTTTAATGAATCAGGATGAAGAGAGAATCTGTCTCTGCCTTCTTCTGCCTTTAAGTACATTTTTTTGGAGGGAAAAACTTGTACTGATTTGGACAAGTTAATGTTTTTAACATTTATTGTGCTGAATGTTTAAGACAGTTAGGTTAGGCAAGCAGAGATCTGAGAAGCAGCTGAGGGGCCCTCAGGAACTCTGGAGGAGCTGTGGAGAAACATCTCTTAAAGAAATCTCCTTCGCAGCAAAAAATGCCTTCCTGCCAACATAAAAAAAGTTATGCTTTGCAGATGAATTCACTGCACTTCATCCTGAAAACATCAGTGAGGCAGGGTGGTGGCTGCATCATTATGTGAGGAGAGTTAACTTGAGTATGGATGTGGTAGATGATTGATGGGTGCAGTGGCGGTGAAGGGGTAAAGCCAAATCCTTGTAGAGAAACTTGGTCTGTCACAACTTTGAATCCCACCTTGTTGAACTTTGTCACATGTCTTTAATCCCATTTCCAGTCTGTCTACTTAAAAAAATAATCGAATAAAGGGCAGCCTGAAAAATAATCTTTAAAAAAAGGTAACTGATGGAAAGAGGGATGGGCCTAAAGGAAAACAACCAATCAGAGGCTGTAGTGGCAATCATTTTGCTTCCCCCTAATCTCTTATTATTTAATCAATCATTAAACCTGGGAAAGCAATCTGTGCTTTATAGGAGATTTTTCACTGATTTCAAACAAGCTCAAGGTAAGTCTCTGCACCTTGAAGATCTCTGGAGAGATGTTTACTGACAGACTGTTTTTCATCTTGAATGTAAAATGCATATTTTGTTGGCTTTAATTTATTTTTTGCTCTGAGTTAGTTGTTCTTTTAAAAAATCTCCATTAACTAACTAAACATTTTACACTTTGAATATAAAGGGTAGGAGAGAGGAACCCCAAAAAGGTGGTTCTAATCTACACAATGCCAAGCCAGCAGGGCAGGATATTCAACGCATGCTGCAGTATTCAGACTCTAAAGTGTGAAAACGATAAAGTACCGGTATGTTTATTCTTTCTCTCAGTGACATTATATCCCATCATGAGGGATGACCAATTTCATTTTAACTAAAACATGCAAAAAAAAAAACCATCACTTTTTTTTTTTTTTCAGTCGATATTGAACGACAATGTGGTAGGAAATGTTCTAATCTGCTGAAGTGAAACAGGGAACCTTAGAAGCAGCCATTATATCCTCATGATCATATAACCCTTCAGAGGAATTTTAGAGACTGAGGCAGGGCTGGTATTTCACACTCCTGTTTGTGTCGTTCCTCTTGTTCAGAGGTTTTGTTAATCGGATATTACTTGTTTACAAATCATGTTACGGCAGCTAAAGGCTAATTATACCCCTTCAATAGGCGCCTCTGTTCTTTCTAAGCATCTACCCTCACAATAAACAGTGGCTCATTTCAGCTAAAGGAAAATAGAATGACGTCACCTCACGAATGAACATAACGAGCTTTATGTAAGTTTAATCCTAGCTGTTTGTTCACTCAGGTTGACTGGCACCATGGAGACCCTGCAGAGTCAGGTGGACGGTCTCACGGCCCGGGTGGAAGAGCTGCGGACTCTGGAGGAGCTGAGGGTGCTCAGAGAGAAGAAGGAGCGGCGGAAGACCGTCCACTCGTTCCCGTGCCTCAAGGAGCTCTGCACTGCTCCCAGGTCTTCAACAGTAACACACAATATAATCTGGCTCTGCATGGCAGCTGTGATGACAAATGTTGCCTTAAATGCAGTTTATACAACAGACTCCAACTTTTGTCCATTTTAGAGGAACCTGGAGACCAAATGTTTAGATGTACCATATTTCTTTCTTTAGATATGAGGATGGCTTCCTTCTGGCCAACCCTGGGAGTGTAGACCTGGTGGAGCGGCAGCCTCTCGATGCGGAAAATGATCGCCTCAGAGAGATCGTATCGTCCCTGCACTCGGCCATGGCCTCGGAGAGGTCAAAGCGTGAGAGCGTGGAGAGGGAGTGTGCCGCTGTGCTGCAGGAGTTCGAGCAGCTGGAGCAGCGCCTCCTGGGCGCAGAGGGCTGCAGGCTGCGGGTCCAGGAGCTCGAGGCTGAGCTGCTGGAGATGCAGCAGCTCAGGAAGTCCAGAGTGTGTCTGATCGGGGACATGGAGGACGGCTTGGAGACGCTGCTCAGTAACGGCCCTGAGACGGACAACCTGGAGGAGGAAATTGGACAGGAAAAGGGAGGAGAAGGAGCTGATGGAGGAGCTGGGCAGCAAGGGGGGGGCCCGGTGCGGAAGAGCTGCAGCGATACGGCCTTGAACGCCATCTCTGCCGTTTCTGGTAGACGCCAAGGTGGTTACCCCCTCCAAGGCAACGGAGCTCGCAAACGGGGCATGTCCATCCTGCGGGAGGTGGACGAGCAGTACCACGCTCTGCTGGAGAAGTACGAGGAGCTCCTGGGGAAGTGCAGGCGCCACGAGGAGACCCTGTGCCACGCCGAGGTGCAGACGTCACGGCCCGTCTCCAGAGACCCCTCCATGAGGGAGTACAGCATGATCTCAGCGGAGCCTTCCACATCTGGGGCCGGGGCGGCCCCGCCCACGCCTCCTCAGACCCCCTCCACCCCAGAGGCGCTGGAGGGGATCAGCAGGCAGGTGGAGCAGGTGGACAAACGGCTGAGCCAGAACACGCCAGAGTATAAAGCCCTGTTCAAAGAGATCTTCTCACGGCTGCAGAAGACCAAGAGGGACATAAACGCCCCGAAGAGCCGAAAGACTCACAAATAACCCCCACCCCATCCGCCCATGTAGAAACAAGAAGCCCAAACTAATTTATAAGGCATTACCTCACAGTTCAACTGCTGAAGAGTAAGAATACTTGATGTAAAACTGCCAAATGTTATTTCACTGCACTGGATGTTTTTTTAGGGGCCAGAGATGAGAAGGAAGGAAAATGTGGTTTGGTGACATTTTTGTTGAGATGTAGAAGCAATGATTGCCTGTTTGTTACAAATCACGCTGAAAAAGCCAAATTGTTCCTGAAGCAGAAATATTGACAGGCTTTGGAAGCATTTCCAGCATGTATTTGTTTATATTACTAAATGCTAAAAAAATAAAATAAAATCAGAAGCTTTAAACCTGAAGCTAATCTGCAGTTTCTGCTTAGTTTAGTTTTCCTGGAGATGATGAATCCAGAGCAGGAAATGATCAATATTTTCAACTTCTTCGATATAAATCAGTGTTTTTGATTTGCACACTGTTCATTTGAACTAATATCTGCTCATAAAGTCACTACAAATTGAAGCACGTGCTTTTCATAGATACCTAAAAGCTACATCTCTGCACAATTTATTTTTTTAAACCACTTTTAGGAAAAACTTTAAAAAACTTTGAAAAACTTGAACTTCCTTCAAATAATATGCCTTGGTGTAAACTTGGCTTTCAAACAGTCTGTTTCTATCCACTTTATTAATTTCACTAGAACCACTGACAACCATGATGCAGTCACTGGCATACTTGGTTTTCAAAGTATTTAATCTGATGAAACATGGCTAAATAGGAATAAATCCTCTTAAGGAGCAGCACATTTAAAGTCCTTGGCAACCATCTTTGAATTTCTAACAGGGAAATGCCTTGCGTTTTCTTTTATACCTTATAAACCTTAATTTGCACTTATGCAGAGTCATCTGCAGTTACCTCCCAACAACCCCCCCCCACTTCAAAATCTACAATTGCATACACTCACCGGCCACTTTATTAGGTACACCTGTCCAACTGCTCGTTAACACTTAATTTCTAAGCAGCCAATCACATGGCGG